AGAGAGAGAGAGAGAGAGAGAGAGAGAGAGAGAGAGAGAGAGAGAGAGAGAGAGAGGGATCTGCGGCGGGAGGGGCGGAGATCAGGATGCGGACGTCGCCATCAGAATGAGGACGAGGTCCGGAGGTCATGTGGATGGGGGCAATTTGTTTATTTTTTATTTGTTTTTTCAACTTTTTTCAACTTTTTTCTCATATATCACCCCATCGCTTCCAGGGATTGGAGAGGTGGGGAGGGTGGAGAGCGTGGCAGGATAAAGATTGGAGGAAGGTGCTGATGCGGTGGAGATGGCAGAAGGTGCGGGTGAAGAGGAGGTGATGGTGGAGGGAGGGCAGGAGGAGTGAGGAAGGAGGGACGGAGGAGATCAGGCAGAGAGAGAGTGAAGGAGACGGGTGGTTGGGTGGAGAGAGGAAGGACAGAGGATGGAGGGAGGGAAGAGGTTGGGGAGACCCAGAAGCGGAGAGAGGACCGACGGAGGAAGGGGTTGGGTGGAGAGAGGGTGGAGGAAGGAGGGAAGGAGGAGGTTGGGCAAAAATTGGGAAGGGGGAATGATAGAGGTCGGGCAGCCGAAGGAGGTCGGGCAGAGGTCAGATGGAAGTAGGGAGCAGGTCCGGCAGATGTCAGACGGAAGTAGGGAGGAGGTCGGGCAGCGGGAGGAAGGAGGGAGGAAGGAACAAAGGAGGACCGAGGACAGAAGTCTTGGGGGGATTGGGAGGAATTTGGAGTTCAGGCAAGCAGAGTTGGGGTGATGAAGATGACGGAAGATGTGCATGAGGAGGTGGACATGGCGGAGGCAGTGGGCAGCCACGGCAGGCAGAAGTCGTGAGAAGGTCGGGCAGAGGTGAGGTGAAGTGACAAAGGAGGGACAGAAGAGGTTGGGGGCAGCAGCAGGCAGTAGTTGGAAGAAGGCCGGGAGGATGGAGGAAGGGAGGAAGAAGGTCGGGCATGGAATCAAACTCGTCTTCCTGTCACTTTGTCATGCCTGCAAACAGCGGTACAGCAACTGGCGACATGCGCCCACACAGTACTCAAGATATCGTAACCAGATCTGAATTCTCTTCAACACAACTCACTGTTCGCATTCTGGATCACCCTGGATGTCCCACACGCAACACTCAGTATCATACACAAGACACACACATACTATGCTACAGCTATGGCAGCGCTAGCTGCCTCTACCCTATCGCTACACTACACTTCTCTGCCCACTTCGTCTTCGGGCGCACTGCAGACCGCCTCGCACAAGCTGCTAAGGCAGCGCTTCCGCCTGGCATCTGCAGGAATGAATGAMTGAATGGACGCAGCCTCTTGATTTATACTTCTGTGCTGCATTGGTCTGCCCTGTGTCCCTGGCCCATGGTGCACACAGTTCCCCCCGTGGTACTTGCTGGACCGGACTGGTACTTTCTAGACTCTCCCTTGACTGTATGACGACGACCCTACGACACAGTGCAAGTGCACCGGGGTCCTACTATTTGACCTTGCCACTTGTCCTCGTCTCCAACATGGGCTTGCTTTAGTCACACCACTTGCCCACTTGCCTGCACCACTTGCCCACTTGCCTGCACCACTTGCCCACTTGCCTGCACCACTTGACCACTTGCCAACCTTCTAGAAAGACTGCAGTTAGCCTTCTAGTCTACAGATCTATGGATCGAATCCTGGCTACCTATAGACCTACGACAGACCTACCTACCACTGGCGGTTCTACAGGTCGCAGGTTCAACTCTTCGAGTTGACGCAGGTATTGTACACAGGTAAGTTGGGGAACTAGGGATCGAGCCCTGGGATCTACCTCAGCTACCACGAATTGGTGAATACCGTTTCAGGCAAGTCAGGCGGCGAGAGGAAGGAGGATGGACCGGGGCTGCGGGACTTCGGGGATTTCTCCCCGCTGAAAAAACGGGAGGGGAAAAACAAAACAATAGTGTTGTAATGTTTCTCGAACCCTACAATTCCGTATTTGTTTTTCCCAAACTGTGTATGTTTTTGGTATTTAAAGAAATAGAAAACAAAAATTGCGATAAAAAGAAGAAAATTCAGGGCATGCCGGATGAAGGGAGGAAGAAGGGATGAAGGAGGTCGGGCATGTTGGGAGGAGGGAGGGACGGAGGAGGACAGGCAGCAGCAGAACAGGAAAGTCGGATACAGATACATTCGGACTGACAAAACATTTTGAATTTATGGGCACCAATAGCACTGCCGACCAGCCTATGAAGTTCATCTGCCGAGCTAGAATGGTGGCCGCCACCCGGGACCTGGTAAAAATATTTCCCAGCAGCCGTTCAGAATGGGCAGATAGAGTGTGCGGTCCTGCTTTTTCCTGTGTGATTTCTGGGACACAGCCCGCTTTTCACTTCGCGATTCCGCGGCCATTTACCAACTCCCACACTGTGGATCAGAACCGAAAAACACGCTGCTTATCGGACGACAGGCTTTGAGGGAGGGAAGAATCTGATTGGGGTAAGTTGCGACATAGTGTAGGACCCTGTGTTCACGATGATCTCTAAGTGCATACCACTCATATCAGGGCATTTCTGCCTCCAATGTGAACGCAGTCAAATACATTTCCCAAAAAACAGGTGTGAGTAGCCTGGATAGAGATAATCTCCCCTAGACAATGGCCTAACCTTGCAGCAAGGGATCGACTTAGGATTTGGGAATCATGTACGCTTATGCAATTGAAGCAGCAATTCACACACATGGGTTGACCGACTTAACCTGAAAGAGTTTGACGAAGTAAGACCATTATTTTTCTACGCCAATAGAAACTGAATTTTGCATGATCGAGCACAATGTCTGCTTTTTTTTTTTTTTTTTTTTTTTTTGAAAAGCAGCGTCCTTGATAGGAGAGGTGATAAGAGCACCCCCTCCTACCAAGAGACCTGGCTGCTCCAATCTATTGGTGGGGAGCAGCACCTGCTGGAAAACGGGTCCAGAACACACAGATGCTGCAGGTAAGGGGTTCGAAGATGATGAAGCCTTGTAACGTGAAAGGTAGTACGATTGACACAGTGCCAACTTGGCAGCATACAAAGAATTCAAACACACTGTGTAATGTGCTAAAAACATCAACATGCTCTTCACTATGCTAGAACATCTATGGTGGCACATGATGTCATGTATCTGCAAAGAAATGATCACAGAAGGAGGAGGTGCTTTCAATCTTACCCTTCAGGTGATCCCGAAGCATCCCATGGGGAAGGAAGTCATAAACCAAGGCTTGTGCGATCTCGTCTGAGCAAAAGCCAATCAAATTGACCAAGTTCCGATGGTACAGCTTCGATAAAATGGCCAACTCCTGCCGAAACTTATCGAGGGGCATGTGCCCTTCTGTGCTGTGACGATTATGAAACATTTTGATTGCAACTACCCTTTCATTCGGCAGGACACCTTTGTACATTGTGGACTCCTTCTTAGGACGCCCAAGCAGGTTGGATGCAGCAAATCCTCCAGTTGCCCCCTCTAGGTCTTCGATTTTGAACTGGTAGAGACCTCCAAGGACCCGTGGTATCTCAATGTATCCAGACATGGTTTCATCAGGGCTAGGCCTCATGGGTACTATTGTTCCAGACCCAAGGTGTGCAGCTCTCAACTGAGCCTCTCTCTCTGAGAGAGCATGCAGTCCTCCTCCATAAGGGCCAATCGGTCCAATCGGCCCAGGATATCTCAACCCCCCATATAACTGCCTGCCACCTGCATGGCCTGCATGACTCGTCCCATTCACTGTCTTGGCTGTTGCAATCAACAGGAAAAGACAGTCCACGGCCCCGGAAACAGAGTTACACACTCACTGTGCCCACCAACCTCTGCTGAGGAGTCAATTCCAAGTCTCACAAAACAAACTGTCACACAACTCATCCTTAGAGGATGCTTGGGATCCACATTGGGGAGAGGAATGGGCCAAGTGAAAGGATGGTAGGGCAGCTGTGTGTGTGTGTGTGTGTGTGTGTGTGTGTGTGTGTGTGTGTGTGTGTGTGTG